TGGATGGGCCTGTGAGCGCGTGATCTCCTTCGCTGATTGAGTGGGATTACGCACAGCCAATAGTGGCTGCTCTCCACCCCTCCCAAGAAATGGTCTCTCAAGTTCTCAATATGGTCCGGGTGTTTTCAGTATAGATTATTTCGGGTACCAGCTGCAGAAGGCAAAAGGTGTTTTCATGGCTGATACTTTTATGCTCTCCTCATAAATGTAGTGACTTATTTATCACAACATCCCTAAGAGTCATATTCATTCACTTTCTCTCTCTCTCTGAACATGGATGGTTTTATAGGAAGACATGTCTCCTCCTCCTGAGTCCCTTACCAAAACAGACGTGAGCTTTGGCATGAAGCTCTCCTTTTCTCTAACCTGATATTAGTCCTGTTTGGCTATGATTTGGAATTGTTTGCTAGGCTGGGGTGTGGCTCCACGCTAGAGCACTTGTGTAGAGAGAGTAAGATGGATTCCATCTTCAGCAGTGAAAAGTTAATTTGCCAACCATGCTTAGAAAAGAGCAGGACAGAGCTCATCACTGGGATAGGAATTGAAACCCGTTTCCATAGCGCAATACTGCAAGCTTATTTCCCCTCCCCTCCCCCCCCCCGCCCTCCGTGTAGCAGAACACACTGGCATCCACACTAGGGCAGAAAGAGAAGTTCTACCTCACAAAGGTCCCTCGATGCTTTCAACGCGGGTGTCACCCAGATTCATAGCCATGGTCACAGTGGAAGATGAGTGGGCCAGAGGGGAGGAAGCTTTCTACATCCCAGAATTTACTTTTGTATTACCAATGGCTTCAATAAGTCCAGGGGATCATAGCTGCTGCCTCATAGACTAGAGGACCAAGAAAAACCAAATGGCAAATGGCATTTCTAATCAAATTGATGTCACTTACTAGAAGAAGAGAGAGACGCTGGTTTTGTAATTCCATTCCCTTAGCTTGTCCAGTCATGGCAGTTTGGAGACTGAATGTGAATCTTAGCGGGGGGGGGGGGGGGGGTTGTTGAGTTCTAGCTTTATTGGCTACAGCGTCTGTATTACCATTATTTGTGAGTTAGGTCATTTTTTAAAATTTTTTTACTATTCGTATACTACAAACAAACTACATTTCTTACGTCACAATAAATGTACCTCTTTTTTGTATAACGTAAGCTATTCCTTTTCATGCCTCTTTCCAAATTTCAGTTTGTGCCATTTTTGAATGAAAACAAGAAAAAGTAGGGAGCGTGGCCTCAATGCACATATTCAGGGTCATACCGTATTTCTAGCCAGGAGGAATGCCACTCCATGAATTCCAGGGTGCAGGATATACTTGAGCCATTGAAAATAAAAACCTGCCAAGTGATCTGCGCTCACACCTGTCCCTGGGTTTCTGAGAAACCAAAAATCACACCACACTCACAGCCTTGATGGAGCCTAGGGGAGATTATGCAAATAAAGCGCTAGTTATTGTCCTGTAGTCTTTTAGTATTGCTCCATTTCATAAGGGTGTAGATGAGGGATGGAGAAATTAAAAACCACCACCACCACGAGCCAAGTTACCTAACTCCATCAACATTAAGAATAAATTAAGAATAATAATGATAATAAGTCCCTGGGAACTTCCTCTTATGTCTTGAGGGCCTTAGGAGTTCATGTCTTCCACAAATTCATTAGATTTGCTTTAAAAAAAAGTATCCCCCTAAGTTAGACTTACAGGAAGTGACAGTCTTGCATTTCCTGTTACACAAGTAGGCAAGTAATTCCTTCATTATCCAACCAGCCCAAATGCTTTCACATTATTTTCTCACTCTTCATAGGAGAAAGGGAAGAAAAAAAAAACAAAAACGTTTTCATAGGCAGATCCAAAATAATCCAATGAAGAGACAGAACCATTGGCTGCCATGGTAATTTTGAGCTCATCCACTCAGCACAAGGTTCTGTCCTGGGATCCTGAATATTTTGCTCTAGTAGGTTGCTGCTGAGGTGGGCGGGGGGGGGGCGGCAGGGGTGTGTGTGTGTGTGTGCCTGTGTGTGTGTGTGCTTTAGTAGTGAACAGGACTACTAGCTTGGCAGCCAGACAGGTATTCTTAAGTTCACTTAAGGGAAAGAAATTGATGTATCCCTTGAACTCTAGAATTTACATCCCAAGGTTCATCCTCAATCCTCACTAGAAAGACATGCTAACCTTGCCTGTGTGCATTTAAGCGACTGTTCTCACGGCTATGGGTATAAATGTCTGCACGACTCCAGTTTTGAAAGAGATGATGGGTAAAAGAGATTCCTGGAAAGTCGTGTATATGTGTGTGTGGGGGGATCTATTTTACTAAATAGAAGTTTGGGCTAGTGAAAGACAGCACGAGAAGTAGGTTTGAGGCCGTGGTGGGGGCTGAGTGAGTCACCTCTTACAGGGGTTGAAGCCTCTGGTTTCCTTTCAGTGACTGTTACTCGGAGTTAAGTCTCTAGCATGGTTGGTTCCTTGTCCGCAGGGCAGTGGGGCTGACTCACATGGGTCCTGCTTAGATCCTTCTCGCCCTGCAGTACATCAGCACCTAGACACGGCGGCCTGCCCTGCAGAACGGGCCGCCCTCTCCCACACACCCCCTCCTTTCGCCCTCATTTTGCCTTTGTTCTCCCGTTGCCTTTCTACCCTACCTACTGATGTGCTGGATGCCCCCGGGGCCTTCCTTAGTCCTGCTGGGGTGCTGCAGGAGCTCTCCCGTGGAAGAGCCACCGCCTCCGCCTAGAAGGGCCTCCTTCTGACACTTCCCAGAGAAGAGAGGATTGGAGGGGGGACGGGGAGATGATCATAGATGGCCTGGAGTTGCCAATGGCACACACGTAAATAAACTCATTTCGACTACAGGGTGCACCAAGCTTAATAATAAAGAAATGAGATGCGGCCGCTGGCTGACACCTGTGATCCTAGCTAGACAGGAGGCTGAGATCTAGAATATCATGGTTCAAAACCAGCCCAGCAACTCACCCACTGCCCCCCTCCCCCAAAAAAATGTTTGCTAGATTCCATCTCCCAGAATATCCAATTGAAAGCTGGAAGTATGGCTCAAGTGGTAGAATGCCAGTCTAGGAAGGAGAGGAAGGTGAGGAGGAGGAGGGCGAGGAGGAGGAGGAAGAGGAAGAGGAGGAGGAGGAGGAGGAGGAGGAAGAGGAGGAGGAGGAAGAAGAGGAGGAAGAGGAGGAGGAGGAGGAGGAACAGGAACAGGAACAGTGGAAAGAATCTACGAGAGAGACAAGGTGCTAACCATTTCATCCACAACACCTCATCTCCTAACCACAGCTCAGCCACAGGGGACACTCATTCCCTTCATGCTGGATTTTTTTTTCCTGAGAAAACATTTTCCAGAAAAGAAATAAAATCATTTGTCCAGAAATCTTCTCTGACACTCTCATGATCTGGTGACAGAGTTCAATGCCCAGGCACTGTGCACAGGCTGAAATGGCCACAGAACTCTGAGAAACGCAGTTGGAGGCAGAACGGACGTGGAGGGCAGTGTGGTATGGAGGTCACGTTCCTATACATGATGAGAGCTGGGCGGGGGAGGGGTTGGGAGCCCAGAGTCGGGGACAAATATGAGAGAGAGGGGGGTGGGCGGCAAGAATTGTTGACAGCCATGCCTCCAGGAGGCTGTACATTAGCTGGGAAGAAACACTCAGTTACATTAAACACATGTATACACAATTATATATACATGTATTATGTGTCTATAATTACGTATGCACAATTATATAGACATATAACCATACATCTATCCCTTCCTGGGAGTGTGGAGAGAGAGAAAAAGAGAGACCACCTGCCTAGCAAGCATGAGGCCCAGCACTGCCGAAAATTAACTAATTACAAAGGAGAAAGGAAAGTCCCTAACTCCCTTAAAAATGCCCCAGTAGCTTAAAGTCTGCTGTGGAGCCAGAGGATTTTTCTTCCTGGGAATGCTGAGTGCTCCCTCACAGGCCAGTGTGGGTAAATGAAGGGTTCCAAGGAGATCTCGTCAGTTCTAGAGTTGAGTGGGCAGTGACATATTGAGAACATATGAATTAACAGCACCTGCTGTAAACCCTCACCCATGCACCCCCCACCCCACACACACAGGTAAGTCTGTTCAAAGTAGTTTTCGAGGTGCCCCTGTAATCTGTGGATTTGTGAGCTGCATTGCTACTCTGCTGGGAGAAATGAAGGAATCAGACAGGTCTGGCTGCCACGCCGCAGTTGCCTTAGCAGCCCAACTCATCAGCACCAGAATTCCATCCCCGGGCTGTCCCGGAGAGCCCCAGTCCCAGGATCAACACACCTTTGCAGTAGTGCCCTTGGACTGTTGGGGTGAGAAGCCATGAAATCATCCTTTTGCCTTCTTTAAAAATAGATACAGGCTGGGCGCTGTTGGCTCACACCTGCGATCTTAACTATTCAGGAGACTGAGATCTAAGAATTTGAGTTTAGAGCCAGCCTGGGCAGGAAAGTCCACAAGACTCTTATCTCCAATGAAACACCAAAAAGCCAGAAATAGAGCTGTGGCTCAAGTGGTAGACAGCTAGCCTTGCAAAGAAAGAAAGAAAGAAAGGAAGGAAGGAAGGAAGGAAGGAAGGAAGGAAGGAAGGAAGGAAGGAAGGAAGGAAGGAAGGAAGGAAAAAAGAAAGAAAAGAAAAAAGAGCAAGCTAGCTCAGGAACAGTGTCCAGGCCCTGAGTTCAAGTCTTCAGGACTAGCACAGAAATAATTAAAAATAAAAACAGACACAGTTTTAGGTCTCAGCCACAAATCCTACAGTTGGTCCCCTTCCTCTGCCGCCTTTGTCACCTTTGTGGATGGATTTTCCACCCCACGAGCATTGCCTGGTCCTCCACTGTTTGGGGGGTTTGGTGGGTCCAATCATGACGAGTCTCCATGAACTCAGAAAAGCAAACTTGTAACTGAATTGCTCTGGGATTTCTGTCTGATGTATGCATTATTTTTCTTTTAGTTATTTCATTTTTTTTGCATTGAAAACATTACATTTCTGTTTCCTTATAGAGTAGTGTATCAAGAGCCTGTGTATGGCAATAAATTACTGCAGGTATGAAATCCTGACCTTTTGGGGTTAAAAAAAATCCAACCTCATCGTCTTGTGTGTGGGTTTACTGTGAAGTTCTTACTAACAAAACGGTTCTTGGCAGTGGGGTGGGTGGGGGGAGATATTCTCTAACACAGGAAGAGGAAAACTGTGACTGAATTTTCCAGTTTTTTAACATGGATTCTGCGAGATGAGAGGATCACCAGTTTATCCCAGTGGAGGTCAAGCCTGGGTTTTCAGTTCTTGTATATGAATTCGAGCAATGTAAATGCAGCAATAAGAATAAGGGGTTTATACTGCACCAACTACTTGGGCGATTTGTTTTTAAACAGGTTCTAGAAGTCCATTGGAATGTTTAGAGCTCAAACTTCTTACCATCCAGCACTGAAACCCTCTGGTGTCCTTGGAGTCCATCAGAAATGTATTTGATATCAATCGCTAAACCATAGGAATCTATTCCCCGCTGTTAAAGCAACCCCAAATGAGTAAATTTGTAGGAAGAGAAAAAAAAAAGAGGCAATACATCTATTGCTGGCTAAGGCTCTTGAGATTGGTTTATAACTAGCACAAAATTGTCAAGTAAAATGAAAGATGAATCTGAGAGAGCCAGACATGGTACTGACTACCTGTAATCTCAGCCCTCAGGAGGCTGAGGCAGAAGGATTGGGAGTTGAATGAAGGTCAGCTTGGGATACAGAGCAAGATTCTGTCTGAAATAAACACGTGAAAATGGATATCAAACCGAGGGTGGTTAGGAAGAATGTTACTACAGGAGTCTCCCAACCACCTGACATTCCCACTTAGTCAGTGAGCATTCTTTCACCATGAGAATGGACGCAATTTTGACTTTGAATGCTCCTGGATGTGACAAAGGTCCTTGGACCTCCAAGAGTGCAAAGTCGTTAAAAAAAATCCCTAAGATGGGGTAGAGGGTCACATTTCTAGAAAAACTGGACTTTTTTTGTCACCCTTCAGAAGGTTGAAGAATGCATAAATCCATTTAAACAAAAACAATTAGGGAGTTGTGATCTATGCCCCAGGGTTTCTTTTTTTTTTTTTTGCAACACGGTTCTTCTAAATAAGCCATTCCCCTGGGCAATGAGCTGTGACTCACACTTTGCACCTGCTTTGTGGGGATGAAGCCACCAGCTCCCACACGCAACCCCCTCCAGCTCACCAGCTCACCAAGCTTTCCCTCTCCTGCCCCAGCCCCCTGCTCAGCGCTCGGCACCTCTTCTCCCCCTGATTTTTCCCTCCAAGGTCATAACACTGTACATCCCATCGACCAAGCTACTTCAAGAGGCCTTGGAGATCATTCAGCCATATCCCTCCCAGGTGGAGAAACAGAACAGCATGAATCCTTTGGTTTCGGCCAGCATTCCCCAAACCAATCTGCCCCTGGGAACCTTGAGCATCCCACCCTTCTGTTTTTCAAAGATGTCTTCGCAAGGCATCATTTGAGGTCTTTGGTGGGGCCTATCCTCCGAAGGAACTGGCCCAGGCTTCAGAAACAAAAGAAACCTGTCTGTCTGTAATCAGTGGGTTTCTTTGAAGTCCTTATTTGTTGATAGAGGTAGGAGAGGGCCACGGGGGCTAGGGAATAGTTCTCTCTAATTAAAGTCACTTTTTGTATAATTTGCTGCCCAAAATGGGAACAAGTGAGGATGTTTCATTGTTTGGGTGGGTGGTGGGAGAAATTCTATGTGTCAAGGGCACATTTGTTTATTTTTTTTTCAATCAAAACATCTAGGGGCACTAGGTTCCACAAGGAACAGGGGTTGGTGACCCCAAGGAAAAGAGAGATCTCCTTTGTCAAACACCACGATGCAGAAGCAAGCTGCAGCGTGGAATAATAACATCAACCGCAGGCCCCTGATAGAAAGGCAAATTAAGGCAATTCTTTTTTTCTCTCTCTCTCTTTTTGATCATTTTACGGTGTATGCACACACAGAGAGCTCACACACAACTCTGTTGCTCTCTTAATATGAATTTACATGCAGGAGAAAAATAGCAAGGAAGAGAGCACGATATTGAGAGGTTGTGAAACCGTCTAATCTAACTCCGACTGAGTTGTCTGGTGGTCAAGAAGCGCTCGGGCTTGTCCCGTCCATTCCTGCAGCCTCTCGGGGCTATTTGAAGTCAAATTAAAGTTTTCAGCGGATTGCAGCAGGCACATTGCAAGTGTCCAGGACCCACAGAAGACAACCGGTTACTGATACCACCACCAAACATGCTTGTCCCCTGGGCGGAGATAAAAGGCAGATCAAGATCCAAAATCTCCCTGGTTACTCACAAAAGACTAGGGAAAGATGGTATTGACTCTTGAGTCAAGAAAACGTGTTAATGGATTCCCAGATAACAAGGGCAAACATCAAAGCATTGAACACCTGCGTTTGTCTTTACATAGAAACACACACTTCCTCCCCTCTACCCAGGCAAGCCGTTGGCAGATTTGGACAATAGGCAGCACTCCCCACATCTTCAGAGGTGACCCCAGACTTCTGCAGAGGCGGCCCAGGTGTACACAGCTGAGTTTTGCGTTTCCCCGTGATAAACACCAACCCAGTCACTCCCCCGCAGGGGCTGAAAAACTTCCTCTCTACTTTCAGGGACCCGAGGTGCAGCAGCATCTGGGAAGGGAGCGCAAAGTTCAAGCCAAGGATAGTTGCTAGAAATATTTGCTGGGACCAGATCCTCTGCCACGGAGAGTGACAATTTACATGGTGCCTGTGCAAATACCATTTTGATGTTTTGGGAAACAGAAAACAAACACACACACACACATGCACACACACATACACACACACTTCAACACTGCTGCTAATGCCTGTCGATGATCAGCTAGGCCGTTCCAACCCCTTCCTGCCTCATTAAGTTTTATATACATCTTTGCACACCTGTTCCCTTCTGATGTGTCATAAAAGCCGGGACGATGGACAAGCAGATGAAAAGAATGGCTCCAGAAATCTGGTGACCTAATTTCTCCACAGTCCCTCATCCTACCGTCTTGAGCTCAGAGCTAGTATGACAAGTCCTTTGCCTCTGTGACTTTCCAGCACATTTAATGAGTTTCCCCTCTTACTCTTCACCAGAGAACATGGTAATTGGAACACCAGGTGGTGTCTGGCTGAGACCCTTTTTTGAAAAAAAAAATAATAATAATTTCTATTTCTTAAAACTTTGTGTGTTTTGTTTTCTGGTTTACTTTTTTTTCTTTAAATAAGACTTTCACAAAAAGATACTGGCTCCAAATTATTGGTGCTCAGCTGTCAGGATGTCTTGGATGTATTTGCAACAAAGCTGATACTCAGAACACGACACTCAGCTTCCCAAATTGCTGTGTCTGGAATAAACAACAGATTCCATCTGCTGGGAGAGCTAGCTGTAGTCAGCACTGCATAGAAAGCAAATACTGGGATCAGTTTACCAACATTTCAAAAGGCTTTTTTTGTTTTAAAGAGTTTCCCCCACTTTACATAATTCCTCTCCTACTACTTAGCTTTGCCTCTGTACATAAAACCCAATAAAACAACACTTGCCTTCCCTTGGTTGTGAGGCCCTGGGACGCGCCATTCTTGCCTGAGTTTTCCCTTCCTGGTGAGGGTGAGAATCTTTCCCATCAGAGGGTTATGGACTGCATATTCTAATTAGAACCCCGAAGAGTCCCCACGCTCTCGGTGGAAGCTGGACCGTGTTTGTTAATTGCACTGAGGTCATTGGACGGCGGCTGACATAGCTCCATGGTCTGTTGAGCAGCGAGCTCTGTTATTTTCACAGTTTGATCATCACAGCTTCACTACACACAATTTTCCTTTGAATATGCCCACTTGCTCGCGCTCTTGGCTAAATTGAACAATTGCGATTACTAGTACATAACAACTACATGTTAATTATTTCTCTTTTCCAGACAATTTTTTTTCTCCTCTTAATGATTTTATTTACAAATTAGAAGACTTTATCATGTTTCTTCACACGACCTCCCACATCGGAACTGGGGTGACAAATAGCCGTGTGATACTTCTAGCCCAGGAGACAGAACCGTTTAACAAGGGTTCACCCTTCACTTCAAAATAAAAATATATGATTTTTTAGTAACTATGTAATGTTTAGAAAGCTGACAGAAGTCTTCTCCAAGGGCGTTTGTGGTTACATGACTATACAGGCAAGCGGTTCATAGCAAGCTTTCAACCAACGAGTTCGATTTTTAGAAATAGGTACGAGCTCATTGACTTGACTTTTAAGAAGAAATAATCGGGGATTATTTAAATACTGAGGTTCCTATCTGTCCGATATCATGGTAAGGCATACTCAATTTTGAAAATCTGGAAAGTTCAGCAAACGATAAGCAGTCTTTAGTAGGACTCCCCTCCCCCGGCCCATAATTCTCCAGATAATTCGCCATTAACGCTTGGGTATGGTTTCCCTCCAGGGGCCTGTGGGTTCTCTCTTGGGGATGTGCTTGGCAGGGCTAACCTTTAACACGCGGTCTCTCTGCTTTGTGTTCCGTACTTCTTCCATACTAAGCTGTGCCTGTAGTTCGGTAGCTGTGGGTCACCGTCCCGTGCTGGGCATCCTAGGGGTGGGCTCGTCTGCACCCCCCCCTCACTCCAGTTTCTCCTTGTGTTCCAGGGTGGTTACGCCGCATACCGCTACGCCCAGCCTACCCCTGCCACTGCCGCCGCCTACAGTGACAGGTAAGGGTCTCCCTTCTTGCATTTGACAACTACTTGAGAGAACTTAGTGGGTGGGTTGGAAGGTTCGCCTCCGGTCTTGTTGAAAAACAAAAATGCCCCCTCACACCACCACCACCACCCCCAAAAAGTTAGACGGTCGGCCTGTGAGGGCTGCTCAGGTCAAGGGGATGGCTGGATTCTCCAGGCCTCGATCATCCTCAGCTCCTCCCCCTCCCCGCTGTGAGCACCGAGGAGGAAGCCCTGTCCCTTGGTAGCTGCTTTGTTGTGTTTCTCCAGTCTCTCTACCCCTGTGACCCTCCTGCCTTGTGTACTTGGACGTGCACCACACGCACACACACACCTTCGCACACATTCGCTTGTATACTCCTTGTTTCAACACTCTCTACTTAACCTTCCGATGGTCTTCTGTATTCAAAAAAAAAAAAAAATCATGTTTTCACCTGACTCCCAGGAAGAAAACAAAACAAAAACAAACACAGAAGATAAGCCTGGCAGGTTTGCTTTCCATTCCAGAACCTTCTTTTCCCATTGGATACCCAGGCAAGCGTTCTCTCCATTGCTTCCTCAGCTCAAAATACGGGGATGCGGAGAGCACCTGGCTCTCCTGAGGAGACTCGTTCCTTTTTAGCACTGCCCCCGGGGTCCGGTCCCACCCACAGGACTTTTGATTTGCTAAGGACTGCTTTCCCCTGTGAAGGCTGGTACTGGGGAGGGACTGAGGAACGCGGACATCAGGATGAGTGGGGGGGGGGGGGCTGCTGGAGCTGAGCTCCTTCCTCAAACAGCAAGTCGTAGTGGGCTCTTTCTTTTTTTTGGAGTTAGGTGCCTTGAAAAGATCAGAGCGTGCGTTTCCATACTGAATGCAAAAATTTCTTGGCTCTTGTTTCCTGGGGACGTCAATGTGAATGTTCAGATGCTCTGCATGTTCAAAATGTCATAGAGGATGCTTATGTTGGTAATGACTCCTTTCATTAAAAAAAAAATGTGTCTCATGAATAAAATAAGAATGGTAACGACTTTTGCATGTGTGGCTGAGGCATGCTGGGGCAGACAGGTAAGCAGGCAATGGACCTGACTCTTGAATGAGGATTGTCGGCAGCCCTGGGTCTCTCACCTGGCCTGTGGGTAATTGAGTTCCTATCTCAGTTTGCTGTGGGGTGCTTTTCTAGCCGTTTCATTCCATTTCTCACAGGATGGGCTGTTAGCTCCTGGTAGCTACAGAATGTGTCTGCAATATAATAAAGCAAAAGAAATCCCCGAATTTGAAGGTTTGCCCTTGGAAAGCCCCATGCATCTATTTGTAAGGAATGACATGTTTGGCAAGGTACAATTGAGATCTGCTGTCTGGTTGTCTGAGGTGATATTAATTAATAATAATAATAACAATAATAATAAAAAACAGCCCAAGGTTCTCTGGACTGTAGGAAGCCTTAAAAGAAATCCAAAGCACCATCAAGACATAGCTGTGATGCCCAATAATCATTTGCCCTGGTGCAAAAATATTTCATGTGCACTATCTTCAAAACACGTAGATGCTGGGTTTTGGAAAATCCAGAAGGTCAATAAGGCTAATTAAAAAAAAAAAGATGACAATCTTGAAATACTCAAGATCCTTCAGCAAATGAAAAGACGTGCTGTGATTCATTTCTGTGCACTGAAGATTCACGTGTTATCAATTGTAATGGGTTCAACCACAACCCTTAATTATTTCCATGAAAATATCTCCAAGATGCTAAATTCTCAAACACCCACTCCATATGTAATTATAATTATAGTGACTTTAGCCTGCTGTACAATTATAAGAACCTTAAACAGATTTATTTTCTTTGAATGTTTATCTTGCTTCTCAGTATAAGTGCATCTATCCCCAAGTTGAAGAAAAAAAGAGGTTAATTACAAAGATATAATTTAAATCGCCTTCTTCAATAAGACCATTAGATATCTAAAAATAATAAGTAAGCAACATTTCAATTCTGTTCTCCCTAGAATTACTTAAGGAACTAGCCATTCCCACTTGTTTTCATCTAAAAATTTTTCTGCAGTTGGAAATACTATTATGCAAAATACATGTATAAGTTCTGTAATATTAATAATATTAAGATTTTTTTCCATTGGCAACATCCTACTGAAAATATCCTCATCCTTGGACTGGTAAATCTTTTATAACTCTGTAATTCCCAGTTTAGTATATAACCGTTACAGTTGAAGAAACCAACTAACTATATTCTTGTCCAAGTAATTGGGCTCTTGTTGTTCATTAGAGACATTTACATATTAGGTCTCCTTGGTTTCTGTGGAAATTGATTACTGGCCCTATTTAGTGTTATTATAAGCAAGATACTTGTCATCTATGGAATTATTCACGGAGGTCAGTACAGGACTAGGTGAATCACCAGAAAACAATCTTGCACATGACACGTCTGGTTTGATTGATGGTGTGTCTCTCAAGGATGCGATACCCTCCTTTTCTATTCCTAGTATACAGAGGTAGCAAAGGAAAGTCCTTTTATAAAGACACACATTTTGAGTGTGTGTGTATGGAGGGGAGGGATGTATCAGAATAACTTTAGAATCTCTATTCAGGACACCAAGCATCTAGAATCTCTCTCGGGGGGCAGCTGGATAATAAATTATTTTTACACTATCACAGCATCACCATGGTTATAGACTCTTAGTTCCTTTTCTCTGGAAGACAGGATTACAAAGAGAGTTCCACTTCTAAACCAAAAAGAAAAAAGAAAAAGAAAGAAATGCCTTCTATAAAGTAGGAAGGAAAAATCAGCAGGCCTGGAGAATGTTTTGGAAACGTTCGCTGGTTGTCAATTTGATCAAAAGGGGGAAATAAAAAACTGCACCAAACTTTTCCCTGTAATCAGGAGATTCACTCTTCAGACGTTTTGAAAAGCGAGAGAAGTTTTGAGATTTCCCCTGGTGGTCCAGTTTTTACCTTTTATCAGCACAAAATTAAGCCCTCGTCAAATTAAAAGACTCAGGGACCTCTGAGAAAGCTTGCTCTGCGCTAGCTCCGGACTGCCCCCGAAGGTGTTTAGTGGGCGCTCTGCACCTCTCCCCGCTCATCAGCTTTCTGGTGAAATGATCACATGGTGATGATCTCTGGGTACCCTGAGCATCTCGGGATGTTGACCTCCAAAATGAAGACTAGCTGGCATGGACAGAGCTTTTCCCCAAACGAAAGAGTCAGAGCTGATGTAGGTAATTTCTGTCGTCTCCTGGACGAATCAAATGGGGGATAGGCAGACATCCCTCCTTGGCATTTACAAAACGTTGGGTAAGCACGGGAGGTTCGCCAGTTCTTTTGTTTTTGGTAACCTCATTTTGAAGCAGAGCTAAACTGGCACAAGGAGATTGATTGTCCCTCTTCTCCTTCCTCCCCACTCCAAGCTAGAACCAATCAGAGCATGGCAGCAGGGTGGGTGGTCATCTGGTCATTGCATGCCACGCGGTGTTGCTGACGTGTCCGATGTGCTCGAGGCCCATCACATTAGCTCGGTGAATGGCTTTGCTTGAATGAAGGCCGGGCTGGGGGGGGTGGGTGGTGGTTAGACATCTTAGTATTCATTGGCTCTTGGTTTCTTCTCGGATTTATGACTTGGTTTCTGGTTGCATTTTTTTTTCTCAGCAGACCAACTGGGAGGGTGGGGAAGGGAAGAGTGCCTGGTTTCAATGAATGATTAATCGGTGAATGAGCAATGCCGTGTATCTTTGGAGAACGACGTAGGCTGTGTACGTTGCTTTCAGGAAAAAAGTTGGTGGGGGGTTGTGGAGGGAGGCAGACACTGCTCATGCTTGTCGTGCTGGTCAGAACTAACGGTTCCTCGTGGTCTGTGCATGCAAGTTCTCTCCCCTACGTAGGGCAGAAGGGAAGCAGTTACAGAGGAAGGTAGAGGGAGGATTTGACTCACGAGTGTCAGGAGGATACACTCAGAGCTGCCACGGCCGTTCCCTTCCTTGCCGTGAGCAAAGCACGCATTGTCTTTCAAGGTCTGCGGGTAGATACCAGGAAGCGTTTGAGAGAGGGTTGGCAATGCCGGGCTGTGCCTGCGTCCCTGGATGGAGTGGGAGAGACTGCAAGCCACGGGCTCTTCATCTTATCTGATTCCCCGTTAAGACTTGGAAGTTACAGTGTCAAAATATTGTTAGAAAGTACATAGGAAGCTGCTCTGGGTGAGACATACACGGTAGACTTTTGGAGATTCTATATATCTCAACGTAAAAGCAGCCCAAATAAATAATGGCAATCAGTTTTTACTTTCTGCAGACACACACACAGACAAGACACCCCCCCACACACACACTCTTCTATGCTTCACAGGGACTCATAAGAATAACTAGGCAAACCTTAATACTGGTAGGACTCATCAAGTTCAGTGGGTCATAGAGTACATATGATAGCATCATTTAAATTGGATCCACACAGCATATCCATCACAGACTCTACTTCAGAGACAGATTGGGAATCTTTCCTTAAAACTCAATAGATATAAGTAGCTATGTCTTTGGAGCTTGAGATAGCCCTACTTAAATGGACTTAAATATAAATAAATAGCTGGACACAGATAGTGGACACAGACAGAAATAAGTAGCTGGAAAAAAAAGAGAAATAAGTAGCTAGATACAGATAGTGGATACAGATAGACATAGACGATAAATAAGTGCATAAGCAGATGTGTAAATAAAAAGGAGGGGGGGGGCCAGGAGCTCACACCTGTCATCCTAGCTACTCAGGAGGCTGAAAGCTGAGGATTGCAGTTCAAAGCCAGCCTGGGCAGGAAAGTCCTTGAGACTCTTATCTCCAATAAACCACTAGAAAATCAGAAGTGGCGGTATGGCTCAAGTGGTAGAGCGCTTGCCTTGAGCTGAAGAGTGCAGGGACAGCGCCCAGGCCCAGAGTTCAAGCCCCATGACCGACAAAAGAAAAAAGGAAGGAGGGAAGGAAGAAGGAAATTAGGAAGGGAGGAAAAAAGAGGGAGGGAGAGAAT